AACCCTGTATATTTCTTAATATTGATTTTTATTATTTCTGTTAAAATATTCCAAATTTCACCCATCCAAAACAGATGTTATCTTATCTTTCGGGGTGTATGACCTGAAGGCCATGTGGTTTATTGGTTAAATTGATATTTTACACCAAATGTCAAGCCGCCCTTAAACGAAACCGGGGTGGTATCTCAAAGAAAGATACTAAATCTTTTGACTCACCATTGAAAATACAGACATTAAATTATGTACTAATTTCATCTAGCGTCGTGGAAGGCGTCGATGTAGGTACGTCGCAGGGTTGGGCGTCGAGGCGTCCATCGTCGAGACGTCTAGCGTCGTGATGGAAGGGAAGGTATTTAATACGGTACTGTATTGGGACAGATATACGGTAGAATTAAGTAGGTGGTGCGGGACGTGATATTATGAAGGAAATAATTATGGACGGCAAAGCGTCGGAAATAAGGCGTGGGACGTTGAGCGTCGAAATGAGTGTACGGTAGGAAATACTTAGATGGTAAGGAATGTGACAGCGTTCGAGACGTAGGGAGTAGGATGGCAGGAAGTTGGGCGTCGAGACGTTGACACCGTCGGGGATAGGAGGTATTGTAGGATAGACGTCGTTTAGGAGGAGCGTTTAGGAAAGGTACAGATTATATAACTGGGTACAGATAATAAAATGTATGCTTGCACATCAAATGATAAAAATTGAATGCCCCTGAGCTCATTTTCGTCAGACTTTTTATACACCGTTTAATCGTTTCTGTGATGTCTCTATCGTTTTGCTTCTCATAGAAAATACGAATGTAGGTGCAAAAGGGGTGGGTTATTTATTACTTGCCTTGAAAGTTTTGTGTATCGAAATATTGTCGATATCGGTCTGAACATCGAAACTAGGAAAATAAGCGACTTAAGTGTTTTAATGATAATTACTTCGTAAACAGAAATACACTTGATGGTGTTTTCTTTCTCGAGGAACTCAGCCACGTGCATCTTTTACGGACGTGGTTATAGATATTATTTATTAGGTGTCGTAAATAAGATTTAATTATCTGGGAGATTTTTCGTTAAATGAAGCATTTTGATATTTAATAAGAATGTAATATTGTATTTAATAAATGAAATTAATAAATTATTAAGGTACCTGGGTGCGGTAGGTTACAGTATTTCCCAAATCCCTATGAATTGTATATAATTGTAAAAACTACTTACTTGCACACTTAAACGTGCCATCCAAAAAAATTAAATGTTTTGTTTTTAAAATGTATCTTCTACTGGTAAAAACAAAAATGTTTTTTATATTTACCTTTTCGGAGAACAACAAAAATTCTTCGTCTTAGTCCAAAATGACAATGTCTTCCGATGAAGTAGGATTTTTAGGAGTGTAACGTTTTTTTCGCTTTAACTCGGTTTACTTTTATTTTGAAAGAAGAGAAACTTGGGAGGTTTTCTACGCTATATGTGTTTTTTAGAGCGACAATATTGATTCTTCAAACAGTTTGTGAGCTAGTAAATCTTCTTCTCTTGCACGTTTTTTTTTTTATTCGAAATTGCATTTCGAATTTCGGCCCCGCAAATTATTTTTGAGTAGCTATGTATATTTATTTTTAAGATGTCTATGTTTCCGGTAACTTTAAAAATATAGTGTTAATTTAAAAATGCCTATAATGTACCTAATACCTAACAAATTAGGTTTAGAAAAAAAGTAAAAATTAATATAAAGTTTTTCTGAAAAATCTGTTTAAAAAATTTCAGAACATTTAACTCAATGAAATATCGTGAATTAACATTATATTTGACTGATGGCAGAAAACGTTATTTAAAAAATATGTTCAAGCAAAACATATTTTATAAAAATATACCTAACTTTATTAGAAATTACAAATAAAAAAGTTTTTACTTGTAAACCCAATCTCTCCAAGAGCAAGGTTGATTAAAATTTTTATAATAGCTTTATTGAAAAGTATATCAATTAAAAAAAGTAAAAGTAAGGCAAGTTTTCACCCATCCGTTGCAATTTTCGGTTTTTCGATTGGAGCATTTCCACAACGTTGCACGTTTTCCTTTATTTCTTATATAAAGAAGACAGTTTTAAAAATTAAAGCTGGATTTCCGTTTGACGTTTCACAAATTTTGGGAGTTTCCGTTATAATAAACAGCAGAGTATTATTAATAATAATGTTTACTTGTCGGAAGTCGATTGAAAACTAATTTTTGTGACATTTTTTTGCCGCAAATAATCTACCCACCATTATTATTTAAAATCTTCAAAACTTGCGTTTATCGAAGAATGTTCTTTAGAGATGGATATGTAAAGTTAATATTTATATATTTAAGGTGGAATAACATTTCCGGTTTAAATTCGGGATTTTTTTTCTATTTGTATCAATATTTTCCACGAAATGGATTGAATTTTTCACCAAAGTTCTTAATAGGAATTTAGGATAAATATGATTATAGTCGATAAGTGAGACCCTTACGGGGATGGAGCTATGAATAATTAACATTCATAGCTCCACCCCTATTCGCGATGTTGCCATACTTAGCTGCAGCTCTTTGTATGTTCTCTCTCGCGCAAAATATGGGCAAGTGTCCCGTAACTGTTAGATGGACCCTTAGCTTTGGGCAGGTAGGGGAGGGGATTACCGGCCAAAATTACACCCGCCGGTTATTTTAATGTGTTTATAGACATTTTTCACTATTAAAAAAAATTATTTGGGTTATCAAAATAAATATTAGTTTTTTATATCCAGTTTCAGTATCCTTCCAATTTAACGTTCGTAGTTGAACTCAACGTTTTGAGGCATATTATATTATTGACAATAAAGCAGCTTTAAAGAATTGTTGCTTGATTTTTATTACAAATAATAATTTAAACCTAAAAAAGGTTCCAACGAACATACATTTTCATAATTTTAGCTTCCAGGAGTAAAAAACAGTGTAGGCAGTTTTTTGAGACGAAATGACCAATTATTTGAATAAAAAACCAACACCAACTTTATTAAACTTTACTGACACAATAAGCATTACAACTTAACCAATAACAATTTTTTAACTGTCTTTTTTATCCAACGACTGCACATCAACAAGTGGCGTTACTTCGCGGCTGTCTCCTTGTACCAGATGATACGGTGTTACGTGACCAGTTCATTTACATCGTTGCCAGATTATTTTTAAAGTTCAATGTCTAAGATTTTTCCAAACATTTCCCCCCACCATTGAAGAGAACTTCTATCATTAACATTGTCCAGGAAGCAGACGTAATTTAGAGATTGACCGTTTAAATACCCCCCATTCACAGTTTTTACTTGAGCGACACGCACTTTCCCATCAGGTCCATTAAAAGTCTCAATAACTTGTCATAACGTCCATTGGAGTGGAATGATAATAACCAGCTGCCCAAGTTTTAAATTGCTCACTTCCGTTGTTCACTTGGTCTTTTTCTGAAGTTCGGCAAGGTATTCGGATGACCACCTGGCCCAAAAATGCTGGGTGAGCATTTGTAAATGCTGCCATCTGGATAATCTAGTTGAGTATACGCCCAATAAGGGCATCAAAGGCATCAAAATCATTTGGATTACGGGACATAGGAACCAGGGGTCTAGAGTTTAAGACAGACTCTACAGTACTTAAGTCTTCAAACGTAAGACTTGAATTTCCAACAATCCGTTTTAAATGATACTTCAACGAACGAACTCCGGCCTCCTATAATCCGCCAAAATTTGGATAGTGGTGTGGAATAAATTACTACTCAATTCCTTCATTATTAATTATGGTAGATAATGATTCTGACTGTAACTTTAAGAATTTGGCCAATTCGTGTAGCTCATTATGAGCACCAATAAAATTCGAACCATTATCCGATAACATTTTTAAAGGCTTGCCACGTCGGGCAACAAATCTGCGAAAACACGCGATAAATGACTCAGTAATAGAAAATTGTGGGGCAGGTGTAACTCTTTCTGCAGGCAGAACTCCAATTATTTGATTCATAGGTTTGGGGTTTGCTTTAAAACATTTCACACTCATGAATTACTTTTCTACACAGTTTTCAACGTCTGAGAGTTTTCTAAACAGCAGTGGTTCGAAAATGCAGGCCATAGTTGAGAAATGCCGTAAATATTTCGGCAATGCAAGAAATATGTTCCAGAAATGCCTACAATTCTTAGTAAATAGTACAACAAACATTCCCGAATGCGGCAATGGACGTACAAATTTTCAACAGTGGAAAGCCCCTTCAATCTGTTATTTTGTATAATTAGTATACGTATCTTTTAAATTTGTGTGTATTGAAATATTTTTTCAGATGTTTATTATTAAATGGTGTAATAATAAAACTCTAAGGTCGTTGTTACAATTCTTACTGGAGAAATTCGGTAATTATGGAAACAAAAACAACAAAATTATTATACCCCAATCATTTATTCGCTAAAATAAATTATTCATCAATTTTATATACATTTAAAACATGTACAAAAATGCAATTATAATTCAGACACATTCAAAATCAGTCTCGAATAATAAGCACATTTCTTCTACAGATCTACACAATATTTAAAGTCTATAAAATACTATGAAATACATAACAAAAAAAAATTATATAAAAACTCTCACTTCTCACGCATCACACATCGATCATTTCGCCCATCACGACAACCATGTCAACTGTCAGCAAGCGCGACTAATACTGTCAACTGTCACATCAAGTGTTGTCAGTTGTGTTGGCTAAGCCAGCACGTTGGCTTGCATTTCTTACAACTGTCAAAATTGTAATAAGACCTTTTTCCATGATTCTAATTAATGCTGGATGATAAGAAGGAACATATAAACTTTATGCAGGTGCAGTTAATCATTCAATTGGTGAGTAATTTTCTAAAATATTACAGTTTAATACTATTTAGAGATTAGCATATCCATAAAAATATCACAATATGTGACTTCTTGCTTCACAAATTCACAGTCATGTTTGCTATTTGTTTTTGAGAATTGTTTTCCAACAAAAGGTGGTCATTTTGAAAAAAAAAGTTGAATTTTAATTCGAGAGCTTCCTGGTAGGTTCAATCTAGAGGTGTCTGGTTTTACATTGTTAGTTCGTCCATTTTCCTTTTTAACTGTTGGCTACCGGAGAGTTTTTGTTTCAGTTGGAAGTAGCAGGATAGTCTCGAACATGCATATTCCTGAAACAAAATAAGAAAATGTAGAAGCTACAATCTATGTACAGCTAAACTGTTTAATTAGGAGATGTATTTTGGGGTTATTCGACCTGATTATCAGATTATATCGTCTCCCTTATCACGAAGTGACCTACCCAACAAAAATTGAAAAATGTTTTTTTTTTGTGCGGATTAACTAGTCTTGGTCTACTTTATCATCTCACGAAGCGGCATATCTACAACCTTAATAGTGTTTGCAATATGGCATAATACTTTCTGTGTCCTATCTGCAATAACACAGAATATTTTCCTCAAGAAATGTTCTAAGTGACTTTAGGTATCTTAGTGAAGTAAAATAATATGTGATCCACAGGATAAACTGCAACCTAACTGAACAGCCGCTATGTTTATTTTGTATAGAATCTTATAACTGTACATCGACAACTTCAAGAACGTACTTACATTCTGACTTCGTCATTGATAGTAAACTAATAAAATTAATTGCAGCTTTCATACTGGACGGAGACGGATTTTTTCCGTACGGTCGATTTGAAAACAGCCGTGTCAACGACTGAATTGTACGGTACCGTACCGTCGCCGTCTATCAGTGGTCTATGTAACTTTATGCAGGCTTTCATATATGAGGATTTTTAGCCGTCTGTCGTCCGTTATTGCGTGCCGTTTGGTTATTATTTGTCATAAATATTTTGTATTTTGAAACGCGTCAATATGACCATGAATGACAATATTATGAATTTATTGGTGTTTGGATTTTGTAGTTAATAAACTAGTAACGAAACAAACAGAACTCTTTTATACTTCAATATCACAACTATTATTTCCTTAGGTTAAATACAGTTTCTCATTTTAGTATTATGTAGTATGCCACTGAATATTGTTTTTTAATCGGTTATAAAGCTCATCAGAGGATACAAAGGACATCTGAAGGTAATTAAAAATTGTATTTTCGTCTGCACGTAAATCTTCCATTAAGCAAATGAATGGCCCCACTTCATCTCTTTTCTGATTAATTGGGTGCACCTAGTATATACGATTATGTCGTTTCCGATACTTTTGTATATGACGGTACAAAAGACACATGGCAATGTGCGCTTTCGATTCATGTCGATAACCAACTGACATAAAATACAATAGCTAAAGACGGTTCACGGAAAAGAAAACCGTCGAGTGTGAATTCTATCAAGACACGGAAAAAATTCGTACGAACAAAACCGTTGTGTCTGAAAGAGCCCTTAAACCTTGCCCAAGATGTACAATATGTTTTTGGAACACCTTGAAACCAGGGTTACCAGGTTTTTGAAAGAGATGACGGACAGACAGGGGATTTTAGGGGAAATAGGGGGAAGTAAAAACAACTCAGTCTATTTTTACTCTTTTAATCAAAATTACTTATTTTGTAAGAAACCCTTACCTAATTTTGGTAAAGATACACTGAGGTGATTATACAAACAATAAGGTGAAAATGTAAAGTTAGAAAATCGAGAAATCGCAAATCGAAATCCAAAGTCAGAAACATTTTCACCTTATTATTTGAAACACCTCTCAGTCTATCTTTACCAAAAAATAGGTACAGATTTTTTACAAAATAAGTAATTTTGATTAAAAAAATGAAAACAGGGTTGTTTTTACTTCCCCATATTTCCCCTAAAATTCCCTTGAAACAGATTTTAATAACAAACCGAGTTATAGTACGTACCGAAAAATATTTAAATGGCAAAATTTATCTTTCTACAATCCAAAAAAGAATCAATGTTCCCTCTAAATACTTTCACTAAAACAGAAAGACAATTTAAAAGTCAAGTACACACAGCATATTGTAGTAGAGCAAAAAGTTCGAGAGTTAAAAGCTGTAGACAAAAAAAGAACTGTAGAAAACAAATTATTTCTCAGTGGAGTTTTCGATTTACACGTTATATACTTGCCAAGAAGCAAAGAGAATGCTATTTACTACAAAAAAAGATTAGGAACATTTAACTTTACTTTTTACAATATTGGTACTAAAGAATGTCTTTGCTTTCCGTTGAATGAAACTTTTAATAAGAGAAGTTCTTCTGAAATTTACATGTATTTATAAATCTTTGGAATATTTTAAGAATAAAGACAAAATTACTACCATTTTTCTACTCGGACGGCTGCTATGGCCAGAATAAAAATCTTTTGATAATTATGAAAAAATATCACTAAGGTTTTTCGAAACAAACCATGGGTAGAGTGAAGGGGACTCTGCCCATAGTACAATAAATATTGCCATAATAGGTGCTGGAGATCTTTTTGAACCCTCACAACGGTACCCAATTTTTTGATTGGCCAGAAGAACACAACCTTGGCTCGTCATTCCAACGAAGTACTCAGATTTCTTGGATTTTAAAAAACTGTTAATATCTATAAGAATTCTATCAATTAGAGAAAGTGCGTCAGAAGAAAATTTAAATTGGACTTAAATTATGGAATTTATGGTCCGAAGAGACATGCCTTCTTATTTCTTTTTCAAACGAATACATTACCATAAAGAGTATGACAGTATTGAAATAAAAAGACTGTCATAAAATATTTGTGATATTAAATTAGAACCTCTCACACAGAACTAGTAAAACTAACAAGCAAGTATTCTGACCTAATCTTCGTAAGTCAAAGTCAAACGCCCGTGGTTCGAGTACCTGAATTCCAGTAATACTATCAGGAATTACCTCATGAAGAATGATAGTTTTAAATACAATTCCAACTATTTTTAATCACTAGTTTTCAGTTATGTTTATTTTTCTTAATAAAAACATTAAACATATTTTTTATTTGTTTGTCATTTCCTAAACCTGTACTAAATATAATCACAGGCAGATAAAACATACATAATATTGCATTAACAACAATGACAACTAAACTAATAAAATATACTTAATTAAGGTCTATCTGATAAAGTGAGAAAGTTCTTTGCCACGAAGTGGCATAACTGACCATTTCAATTTTTTTTTTAAATCCCGAGGGAGTTTGGCTAATCTGGAATCACCAAAATCCCGAGGCAGTTTGGCTAATCTGGAATCACCAAACAATAAAACAGGGCCTTAGCATTCCATGATAAAATTTCGAAAGCACAAACTCTAAATCCCTCTATATTATGTCTATCTGAGAATTATGTATTTTCATTTTATTGCTTTCCTGTACAATTTACTATTTGCTACTTATGCCACTTCGTGATAAGGGCGACGATATGATTTATGAGAAAGTTAATTGTAAAAAAAGAAACGATTCTCACATGGGCCTTCTAGGAATTCGAATACATAAAAAAAAACTATCGTCTAAACTATTAAGATAAAACAATAAACTACAGTTAAAAATATCATACTGGTGACAACTCATTGGCTGATACTACAATAGCAGCTGTCAGGAAAAGATAATTTTACAGAAAACCGTAAAATGCTAAGAATAGGTTTGTTCCAACACAAATAGCAAATCGGTTTAGGTACTGTCGGGATTCTGCTCAGTCTAGATTTAATGTTCGAACAACCCTCAGACTCAAAACTGTACAAAAACCTATAACACACTCAAATCTAATCAGTTTCTGTACTTTCAAATCAGTTCCTGGGTTTGAATAGAAACGAATTGTCAAGACATGTGCAACAGGAAAGTGAGCTCATGAATAAATCAATTCACGGCTAACTCTGGAAATGTCGTGTCTTGTTTTGATAGAATTGACCGTAAGTCTCTATCCAAGGATTATACGGGTGACACAAACTTTATCGAAAACATTTGATCGAAAACATTTGTTCGAATGAATTTGATCGAAAAGAAAAATTATCGAAAATAGATTTGATAGAAAAAGCAATTGTTCGAAAAATCAACTATTCATAAAATTATGGAAAAATAAGAAAAATTAAAACAAAAATTTTAACTAATTTACCTAACCTGTGTGGCCTAAAATCATCGCTGGTTGCTTCGCAAAAACAAAAATGAAAAAATAAAATAAACTTAAGTAACGTACCTAACTTTCCTAACTTGTGCGAGAGCAATCAGTTAAATTTAAATAGCACAGGTTAGCTAAGTTAGTTGTTTTTTATTTTACACTTTTTTGTACAATTTTTTTTGGGGAAGCAACCCTCGAGGGCTCCAGCCGCACAGGTTAGGTAAATTAGTTAAACATTTTGATTTAATTTTTCTCATACTTCTACAAGTTTTTTTTGCGAGGCAAACCGCGACAGCTCCAGGTCGCATAGGTTAGGTAGATTAATTAAATTTTTTTTATAAAAAAAAACTTAAAATAATTTACCTAAAATGTCCCATCAGGAGACAACTCGACCTTATTGAAATACACATTTTGTGCGAATTAATCACAATTCTTTAATCTCAATAAAGATAAATAACCGTTTAGCTCTAAAATATTAATTTTTAAATTAACAGTATTGTAAGGATAAAATTTGTTAAACGAGGTAGCTATCGTTTGAGATTACCGAAAATGTTTCCATTAGTACCTAATTTTGATAGCAGCTGAGTTTAGTTTCCCCGGTAGTAGGGATTAGACGGACGGTTGCATGGTATCGTTTGATTTTTTGATATTCTACTATTGTCTCTTCGATACAATGTTATTCGATAAAATAAATCTTCGATCAAATGTTATTCGATCAAATGCCATTTGATAAAATGTATTTTCGACCAAATTTCCAATTCGATAAAATGTTTTTCGATCAATTTTGTGCCACCCGGATTATAGGAGTATACTATTATCGATCGTAACTTGGTTTTTATTCATTATCATTATTTATAGTATATTATAAATTATAATATTTTATAGGTGTATCTGTTGAGTTATTAATAATGAGATGAGTAATGAGTGTAAAAAGTTAGAAGAACTATTATTCTGACTTAGATACAGTAAAAATAATAGTCTAATGCACTAACTAATAAATAATCTAAATTTATAAATCTTTTAATGAGATTTATAATTTTTTTTATTTCCCAAACTCAAAATTTAACATTCGTTACATTTGTTATGACTTTGACGTTATTGACAGAGTATGTCTGACAACAGAAACATGCGTTCCAACACAACCAAGTTCCGAATTTATTCCCAATCCTTGACAGGTCGTCGACAGTAAGTTGTGGACTGGTTTGTGTATGGTTCCACGATTGTTGTTGGAACAAACCTAATGCCTACATAGATCATATTGCCAGATATTGTAAATACATTTTTGGTATGGAGTACGGACATAATACATATTGCAATACATGGTTGCATTCTTACAAACAATAAAGTGAATTGATGAATTTTTTTAACATACCATGTCTTGCAGTATCAGTGACGATTGTAATTTTTCTTAAATTTAAACTAAATATAAAATTAGTTGGGGAAATAGACATACTAAAACTACGAACTTGTCTTGATATGAAGCGAGTTACAGTTACATCGATATGGCGTTTGATTAAAATCTTTCATATTTCATAGCGGGATATTGTGAAGAGGATAAAACAGCAGAAGTAAAGTGAGTGAGTCATGTTTGAAGAGCTAGACAAGATGCAATTATAAATGTGATGATAACTAACAGAGAAAAGAAGACGTAGTTGACCAAGATCAATGTGTATTAGTAGCTAAAGAATATATGAACAGAATTGGAATAAAAAACGTGAAGCAGTCTGAAAAAGGGGATAGGATTAGAATATATTGAGCCTGGAAATTTCAAATAAGGTGCAAAGCTTTGAACGTATAAGACTGGGATGCTAAATCTTGAGGTAATTCTTTTTTGTGGTGGTCATTCTGTGTAACATAGCTGCAGATCTGGGCAAAAGCTTTGCCAATGTAAAGAACTATAAAAAGGAACTAAATGGAACATGAACCAATGATGGTAACAAAATTCTCTAGGCTTTCTCACACCACTTGCTAATTTCTTTATTTTATAAGCAAATAGGATGTAATTAGGAAAAGGGATAACAAAATAAAAAAATTAAAAGTCAAAAGTAGTGTAAAATATAAAAAAAATAAGAGAAAGAGAGGGAAAAAAGATGTCGAAACAAGAAAATAGCCTAAATTAAATTCATTGAAAATATGTCTAATCCGACAATCGACTGGGTATCAGGATAAGATGAAGAAAACATGACTTACCCAATATCCAAACGGTATGCTCGAGGTTTCGGCGTTGATGAGCGCCCAAACGCCCCAAAACAGATGAGACGCCATTGTGAACACCTCTACCTCTCTGAGCACCTTCTTTGGACTTTCTCGTGAGCCGCGTTCGTGTAAATAGGCCCTAACAAACGCCATGCGTTGCTTTTCGGTTGGGTAGTTGCTCCAATCTTCCTTATAGAAGGGATGAGTGCGGCAGGTGTAGTCGTATGCCCATTCGGCGAAATGGTTGGCAATGTCAAAGGAACGGTAGTTGTAGGAGCAGTATTCGAAATCTGAAATTAGAAGAAAAAAAATTAGTTCGTAATACGTAAACCATTTTTTACGTTTGGACAAAAATTAGTGGCCATATCTGCATAATACATTGCGTTATGAAAAAAAAAAGAACCCTTTTCCTTATTTAATCTATTAAATTTGGTATCTGTATCAGTAAAGTGTGTAGGGTACGTTAGTTAACCCACGGCACGTAGGCCTCACTAGGCCCATTGTACAGCCTCCTAAGTAGATAGGCACCTCCTAGTTCGTGAGCATGCCTACAGATTTAATATAGTTGACAACATCGCCAGAGGTGCTTCTCTTATATCGGCCGGTGTTAACCAATTCTCGCCAAACAAAATTTTTCTAATAAATGAGAACATCAGAAAAACGTAGAGGATATGCTCGATGGTATCATCTTCTTGTTCGCACCCCTGCAGAGTGAGGATTCTGACAGCCCCATTATATGAAGATGCTTCCGTAGTTGGCAATGTCCAGTCAGAATGGCTGTGATCAGGATTGTTTCAAGTATATGTTCGCTGTAGTGTTGTCAGGTTAACTTAAAAGCTCTCTGGCAAGTCTGCAGCTTCTTGTTTCATCCCATCTTTCCTTGAATTTCCCAATTTAATTAGGTTTGTCAATACCGATGTTGTCAGTCCAATAGAAGGGCCTGGTCCAAAAAGTAGATGGTTGGCTGCCTTCTTGGCAAGTGAATCAGCAACAAGACGGTTACCTTTCGATGTGGCGTGACCTTTGAACCATCTTAAGTTGACCACATTGTTGATGGATACTTTGGCCAAAGCTTTGTGACATTCTAGTACTAACCCTGAATAAATTCATAGTCGGTCCAGGGTGAGTAGTGGTTGTCTATATAGATGAGCATGTTTCTTCCAGTGATATTATTTCAGGTGATTTTTTTTGCTGCTATGAGAATCCCCGTGAGCTCGGTTTGAACTACAGAGGAACTACTGCTCACAGCCCATTTTATGTTCAGGTTTAAGGATCTAGACTAGAGTATAGTCCACATCCTGAGCCTTCGTCTTATTTTAGAACCGTCGCGTCGGTGTAGATATGAATCGTATCCGCCACTTCCGGTTCTTCTATTTGTTCTGTTATATGGCTCATGGAAGATATATTTTCCAGTGAGATGGTCCATGTTCGCTTGAAGCAGTGGGAGCGTATCAAGCGCCCCTACAAAAAGCGACATCTCGACTCACTAGATGCTAAATCAGGTTCTATTCCAACCGTGCGGAGGCATGTTAACGTCATCAGAGCAACCTCCTTAATGTAAATAACAAGGGGAGTGAGACTAAAAATGACTTCCATGGCTCTGGTCGGTGTGGTTTTCAAGGCTCCTGTTATGTTGAGACATACTGTTCTTTGAATGTGTTCTAGTTTGCGGATAGCTGTCAATTTTTGGGTTTTCGGTACCCAGACAACTGCACCGTATGTTAGCATAGGTCTTATGTTGGCCGTGTCCATTCGACGACTCTGGAGGAGTAACCACAGGTACCCCCACGTTTCGGCGCATTGTTAATAAGCAATGTATGCTCTTTTGACTTTGTTTTTCAAGTGTGAGTTATATATTAACTTACTGTCAAAGGTGAGATCAAGGTACTTTACCGTTGCAAAGTTTAGCTTTGTGTTTAGGAGTTCTGGAGGTTTTGATTCCATTATCATCCTTTTCCTTGCAAAAGGTCCATTTCTGCCTTCTTGGAATTGATGGACAGTGTATGGTCCTTGCACCACTGTCCTATAATTTTGAGAGCTACATGCATTCTTTCGCAGAGTATGTTCTCAAAATTCCCTGTTTGCAGAATGACCAGGTGTAGTGACTGTCATTATTGAGGCGGCTGATGAGGGTGTCGAGGACCATGTTCCACAGTGAACATCCCCTCGTAACCAAGCCTCTTATATTCACATCTTCTACACTCATATTTACTGCTCGATTTAAGAGCTAACCATTTGTGGATCATTCCTGTTGTTTAGTGAGTGTATTATCTTGGAAAAGGTCGTTTTATCAAAATCACTATCTATGTCTATGAAAACACCCAAGGCGGACTCTTTATTGTCCAGTGATCTCTATCCGGACAACAACTAGGTGAAGGGCTGAATCAGTAGATTTGCCTGGGATGTATGCATGTTGATTTGGGTGTAGTGGTGTTGTAATCATCACATCTCCTATGTACCTTTCGCATAGCCTTTCCAATGTCTTCATGGAAAACGAATTCAGGCTAATTGATCGGTATGTTTTTGGGACAGTCTAATCCATCCTTCCAGGTTTGGGTAAATTTGGTAATAACGCATACATATTTTCAGTTATCGTTCTAAAATATGGGATTTAAGTTTTGAGAAAAAGTCAACAGACTTAATCAAGTCAACAGACTTAATCAGCAAAATAACGAAATTGTATTTAAACGTAAATATTAATGTTTACTTTGCACCTTTTATTAACATGAAAATCAAACGCCCTAAGACTTGTTTCATTTTAAGCTTCCCAACTGTTTTCATGAACCTTCCGACACAACAACGATCATAATTCTTCTACTGGACGAGCCAGAGTTATGTTTGGATGTTTTCTCTCGATACATAATTGAGGTTATTCTGCTCTAACCATTCCTGAGTCCTTGCTTCTGACATAATGACAGGAAGCAAGGTCAGGCCAAAATATATCATCGTTTTGATAATAGATATTAATGAAATTAAGCATTTTCGGTAAACATCTTTGGGTATAAAGTCCACCATCCACAGCTTATAAAGTCCACCATCCACAGCTTCTCCCTGAAACGGTCAACATGTAGGGAATTAAAATCCATGCCTCAGAAACTGCGCACAAAACTAAAACTGTCAGCAGTTTTTTGTTTTGAATTTTACTTTTCATTTACAATTTGACAGACTAATATATTTCTCGTCGTCCATTATAATCACTTTGTTTCTCACAAAATGCCTTCGCCTCAGAGCTCTGCAACATCTAGGTATTCTTTTGAACTGTGTTTGGGTGTATTTGGGATATTTCCTTCTTTTTCGGTACCTTACACCATTTTTGGACTAAAACTTTTTGGACGGTCTTGTATGAAACCCCCAAAATGCCCACCAAGCTTCCGACTAGAGATTCCAATCCTCCTTGAACGGTTTGTACCAGCTAATCTCTTATAGTCCTATAAATCGTTACTTTGCTAACATTTTTATATCTGAACAGTTTCACGTTTGGGCAACTGTCCAACTAAGCTGCAGATACTCTTTCGAATTTTAAGTTTGTAGGACTTTTTGAGTTCAGTTATTGATCAGCAAAACATGATTTGTTTACCGGTTTCATGGCAACTTCATCAAAGATCAAAATTGAGCTGAAATTTCAAAGTAGACTTTTTTATGTCCCATACGTTATACTTTTTAAATAATTATATTATATAAGTGATACGAGGAAAAATGTCAGCACTTAAACTTTGTTAATGAGATAAAAACTATCAAATTCGCGTAAAAAAATAACATTAATTCGCTATTTGATAAAAATTATCTATTATAAATTTTTAAATGACCATTACGATGATAAACTTGTGAACTGGAACTTTACATTTTTGTGAAATTTTTCTTTATCTTTGTTTTATTGATACAAACATAAAAAGTCGCAAATGTTTAAGGCGACATCGCGGTTTATCAAGTAATTGCTCAATATATAAAATAAAATGCTATCGAAAAATCAATATTTTTATTCATCCGTTGATATTTAAATAAATAACCGGTAAAATTCAAGATGTGATCCACCTCTGACCCCTCATTTACAATAACATTAGATATTTTATTAAAGATAATGATTTAGCATGAATTGAAATTAGGCAATTATTGCTTTTACCTAAAACTTGATTTTATTTTTTAACTAATAAATGTTCTTAGTTCTTAGACGATTTAGATGACAAATAATGCGTATTTTGATTTTTGTCACCTTGACAACCAATAAAGTCCATATTTTGGATCTGGCACAGACTATTATTATATAGAATGGAAATGGTTTACAGTTGATTAAACAGTTGTCCATTAAACATTTAAGAACTTTCATTTAATGCATACCACTGATAGAATTCAGAATTTAAGAAAGTTTTGGTGAAATCGGTGAGTTTAGTAGCACGCTCTATTTTATATTGTAAATAGAGCATTTTGATTGATTTTTAACCCAAAAAAATAGCCTATAATTTGGAATAAGTCGAAATTTCCACATTTTTCTAGATTTTTTAGTTGCCAGGTCCTTTAAATTTCTAGAGTGTCTAAAACAGATTTCTGATTACACCAAAAAAGAAACACCCAAGCATCCTCAATCGGTAGAGAGTATCAGATTGTTTGTAGTACGTATAAATAAAATACATCCTGCATGTGCCTTATAAAGACAATACAAAGTGACCATTGTGACAATAAGTGGAAGCAGCTACTCTCATAGTTCATCTGCTTTACAGACTAACCAGAATAGATGAGGTTTTAAATCTTGATTTACTGGTTTACTTGTAAGATAGAAATCATGTAAAGTCAGTACATGTGGAGGTAAATGAAATATTGATACTTCCAAATTGTAGGCGGGCATCCCATCTTTCCTAATTTACCTCTATATCGAATAGCAATGGTATGGAATATGATAAAGGTGGAAAGCTTGCGAAAAGGTCAATAGCGCAGCTACGACGCGTTGTCTAAAGTTGTGCTTATCAGATACTACTTAAGCACAGGATAATGATTCGAGATGTCTAGGAATACTGCTTGTATAATGCAGTGGAGTATTCTTTGACATTAATATGCATGAAAGGTCTTTCAATATGCGGGGAAAAAAGAAAGGCCCAAAAAGGCAGGAAAGATAAGAGTACGAGAAGAATCAGGGAAACCACGCAAGTGGCGTTCTAGACCCGATCGAAGGTACTGCTACTTCCAAGGAACCTTTGAAATTATTCCAAATGTATTTAACGAAATCCATTAATTTTTACTGACTATCTAGAAAAGGATAAAACGATAACTTTAGATATACTACACATGTGCAACAAAATAAAAAGTCATCTATCTGAAAATACCCCAATTTATGAATACAAAAATCTCTGGTACTCACCAATGATTACTAACTTAGTTTCTTCATTGCTGTTTTCATTTTCGGTATCTAGAGGTGTCAAAATATTCCCCTCTTGCATGTCGTTGTGACAGAAGACAACTGGCGAATCCTCGGCTTCCAACCTCGTTTTCAACCACTGGCACTCGGTATTCAAGTCAGATTTACCTAGTACAGCTCTGCATTCTTCGGGAACGTTATTTTTCATCTGGTTGAAAGTTGAAAGCCATTTTTCCAAAGTGTTCCACAACCAATCTGGTTCTTTGTGTAAAGGGACCTGGAATTTTCGAAAGAGCTCATAGAACACTTGGTCTGCGGGGGGCCGTAACAAAATTACTTTAGAGTTAACGACGCGTTTTCATCTGTTTTGGTCGTTTGTGAGGTTTTCGGGTTTATTTTCAATGTTTTTTAGGTGAGTAATGGGGTGATTTGTTGTTTTGTAAGGAAGTTTCTTGATTTTTTTCATACTTAATCTACGGGAGTCAGTGGTTAAGTATCCATTGGCATTAAAACATATTTTATAATTTTACGGTCTTCAATAAGCGTGTGCGGAATAAAAATTCTGAAACTATGTATACATTAACCACTAATTTACGTTCTTTTTTTTTGAGCGACATACCTCTGAATTTTTACGTAATTTAAAATTAATACGTTAAAGTAAATAATTTTGAAAATATGTTAGAAGTATATCACTCTACGCAGTATACAGAGTAACAAAAAAATATAGAGATTTCATAATTTTTATTTTTAGAATGAACTTCCAGCAAGTTAACAAAGCGTCCAGAATATTTGGATATCTCGGGAAAAGTAAATGTATATCCATGGCGAGTTAGTATCTATCAAATCCAATTTATTTGAATTTAGGGATTCAGATATTTGAGGAACTTGATTTTTTAATGTATCTAATTTATTAGTATTGAAGTGATAAGGTCGGTCTTTGTGTAAAGAAAATTAAGTCGCTAATAAAGCTAAACGAAAACAGTTTTCAGATGGTATCAGGATGCGGAGCTCCACTCGAGGAAAGATTTGTTACTCGTCCTCTTTTAATTACCTATTGGTTGAATGTCTGTCTCGTATAGAAGCTATAAGGTTATTTAGTATCCCTTTTAGTTTCTACCTCATTAGTTTAATAGTCTTGACATATTCAAGATTGATTAATGGACACTCTCGCAGTCGGATTCTGGAAATGCATTTCCTTTTCCACTAAAGGTGGCGTAGTAAGTGTCCCGTATAGAGTACTATTTCGGTATTAAGTTGTTTCCTGCTAAGGTTTAGCAGTTAATTTTATTTGCTCTTGGATGGGCCCTCTATGAATATTCTGGACTGCCTTCTGGAACTTTCTAGTTCCACTAGCACCCCTTTGACACATGAAATAACATATTCGGGTTCAGCTAACGTTTCCTCAGCTCCTTTCCTGCTTTCTCGTTTCCCAAAACTCTCTTATGTCCCAGCACCCATTTAAGAGTGATCTTATTATGTTCTACCAGGGTCTAGAGAAACTGTTGGCAATTAAATGTTAATTTAAATTGACTTATACCCTTTGTAGGGCTTTAAGAGCTGCCTAGCTGTCTGTCCTAATAAAAATTCTCTTATATCCAAGAGTCATTTACCATGATCTTTTCCGGCAGTTATTCAGATTTTTGGAAATGTTCAGTTATACGAAAGTTTTATTAGTCTGGAGCAAAGAACTATTTCTGGAATATAGTCTAGCCTAGGATACTTTATTATTATAAAGTATTTTCTAACCAACTAAATTTAAGAAAAAATCACTTATCAGCACACACCTGAATTAGGTTGATTATCAAAGCAATAAAGACGCATACATTTTATGCAAAAATTAATATAAATTTAACTATGAAATCTCACTACATTTTTTCTGATGCCACTGTATACATACTTCAACTGTTTGAAATAATTACAATTTTATGAACCATGAAAAAATGCAATTATTTAAATGCCATTGGTGCATAAAAATGCCGTTAGTCACAAACAAATTGAAGCAAATTGATTAAATAAAAAGGAAATTATTATAGTTTTAATGTCATTGTAGACAATTATTTTATAAACGCATATTTCTTTTTTGTTTAAGCTTGAAATGGAATAACTGTTAAAATTGGCATATATTTGCTGTATAAATTGATATTGCAAAATAAAGACTTCGTTAAAAAGCAGCCTCATTAAAATATTGGCTTATTAAAATTTAAGCATACTAGAAATAAAAGTTACAAAATATGTTTAAAAATATACAGCAATCTACGCCTTAATTATTTTATAATGCCTATATAGACTTTATTATTAAACGATGGAAATCTTCTTATCTTCTTTGTTTTTCTTGTATTATTTCTTTTTCTTCGATTGATTGCTCCAAAAATTCCTAGATTTTTTAAAGTATACATAAGCATTAAAAATTATATATTGAACTAAAAGTGTAAACTGGTAATAATAACATTTGCAACTTTATTCTTGCAATTTTTTATTCATTTAAAATAAAGACTTTGATTGAATTTCAAAAACTAACTAACTTTTTATATAGAATACAATAAATTATCTAATATCCAAAAAAAATCAAATAATATTATTATTTCTGTCTTTATAAAAGCCACGAAGGGATCTAAAACAACATCTTTTCAATGTCTTGAAGACTAATCAAATAGAGCATATCTACACACCAAATAAAATAAACCAATGTTACTTATTCTTAAAATAAAACTAATGTTTGTTGAAGATTTTTTTGTATAAAATGTTGACCAACCAGAAATTAAAATAATTAAAATATTACCAGTTTACACCAATTTAATAACACTCAAAATTCAAGAAACTTCCCATTACACTGTAGTATAACATGAGGTGAAAAAATGGTAAAGTTTAGATAAAAAGCACGAGTTGCTTATATATACAAAAAAAAAACACCAACCAGCGTTTCTACTTTCGTAAAAACATAGACAGGAGCTGTCATTTTATCATACTGACATATTTCGACGCAAACAACAGTAAAAAAACACGCCGTTGGGTAGTATTCTATGAAATCTGATTATTTCCCTACGGTATTACGGATCCCAGGGATCGTTCAAATTTTTCAGCCCGAATAGGGGCCGGCTTAAGGGGCCCACGCCAATTGCACGCAATGTGTCGCATTTTTGCTAGAACATAACAATCACATACCACATATGTGTGATAGAAATGGAAAAAATGGGTTTCCCCACGTATGGTCGCCGAAAAATTTTCGGAATCAAATTTTTAAGGCGAAATTCTTGCCGCTAACATTTGTTTTTAGATGAAACTGTTCTAGGTCATGAAGAAAGATGTCGGGAGAACTTTACTTCTATTCTGTCCTCCTACCGTAATTATAATGGACATTTTTCTGTCAAATTTTGACGATGCGAATGATGAATTTACAAAATTATATCTACCTCTAAAAAAATAGAACTTTCATGATTAGTTCATATGTACTTTACAGTCTTTTTAAGTAAATTTACCTCTCGATTTACCTATTCGAAAAATTTCACGTAGTTTCATATTTGTGTACGAGGTGCTTTCCAAAATTTTAGTCAAATTGCGTATTCTCGCTGTTTTATTTTCAAGGTCCATCCATGAATGTAAAAATGTTAGATGTTAGAGGGGAACAAAGCATTAAATTTTTCTTCCAGCCTAACAAAAATACAGTTGAAACCCAGGGATAAAAAGGCTTTATGTGAAAAAGCTTCATGCAAAGCAAGAACATTTGTATAATTTAAGCATTTAAAAATGGATAAAAATCTATGGAAGAGGACAAAATTGAATACAGTCTCAGTGGCTGTAATATAATTGGAAAAGTTTAGTCCAATTTTCCAAATGATTTCGAGATCTGTCTTCATGATAGAGTTTATAATAGAAAACAACATAGTTCTCCACCCTTTATTTTTGCCTGATCACTGCAATTTTTACTCCTGTTGAAGGAATCAAAACTTTTTAGATGATATGAAAAATTGGGAAAAGTAGGTAAGTTGTTACGAGGAAATATCGGAATTTTTGGATAGCACCTCGTATTTTAAAAAATAATTTGTATATATACGTAAATCTGTCAAAGCATTAAACATTTTATTGCTTATTGCTCGTTACATTTTAAATCATTAATTTCTCATTAATGTTTAAATCAAAGTAAAATGAAATATTAAAAAAAAAATCTGAAATTGCGTTACCTTTTTTTAGAACAGTTTTACACCCTTAACTATTTTTGTGCGGACAAAAATTTTGCGATAAATATTTGGGTGAAAATTTTTTTGGCATTTTTTTGAGGAATGTCAGCCCATGGTTTTGAGGATGAATGAACTTTGTGACGTCTCGAGTTTTAACACTGAATTATTTAAATCAGTATGTGTTTGTTAACAATTGATAAAGCAAATAAATTATTTGCCAAAAGATTAGAAATGACAATGGTAACGTTCTCGTCTTTTTACTGTTTTTAGAGATTAAAATATACAGTTGGAAAAATTCGAGATGTCACAAAAATGGGGTTTTTAATAGGTAATTGTTTAAAAATTTACATAAATTTTTATGAAGAATTTTGTTAAAAATTGTTCGTATGTAAAATATTGAGTTCAAGCTTAAAGTAAAGCAAACATTTGATTTATTGTTGCATTCTTTTTAATCATACATATTAGCCCTCGCAATCCAAAAAAGAATGATTACTTTAAATATCGTACTTCAAACAAATACCCCATTATTATTTAATGAGCTTTTTAAAGTACGTGTAGGTGTACAGATAATTGCGACACGATATCGTAAAAATAACTATCAAAATAAATTAGTTGACAGTCTTATCAATAAAAATGTTTGTTCGTGCATTTATTTTCGATTATAGAAGTACGCTGGTGATAATTCTTGTACGCTGCAGTATATTATTTCAAATGCTTATTTGGCAAACACAATTGTTTTTATCAGTGGTAACTTTACTATTCATTAAAAAAAAAACAGAAAATCCGATTAATTTACTTAGGTATACTAAAATTTATTTCATTTTTTTTTCTTTCCACTCAAGGGCATGCCAAAGATATTAATAGTATCGTATATTTTATATCTCTTTGTGAAACCAAATGTTGTGTACAAGCCTACAATCCTGATCTTGCACCTTGTGACTTCGGTTTGTTCCCAATTGTGAAACAAAAAAAGAATAGATAAAATCAGAAACGTGGAAATAAGAGACGAAAGTATAATCATTATCAGAGGTGATAGAAGATCAGAAACTAGGATGGTTCGGACACTTGATATCTATTCTTGTGTCTGAGGAAATATAATATT